TTTGTAATATTAATGAGTATCTTGTTACTATTAAAGTCACTTTAAACTTTTTGTTTTTTATAATGAAAAAGTAAAGCTTTATAGGAAAAACAAGCCTATTAAAAGGTTCACTTGATACTAATTAACCAGTTATTTCAAGAAAACTTTAGTACTTAATAAAAAAAACTTTTAACTAGCTTCTTCTATATGAGGCTTTAACTGCATAATCATAGAATATAAACGTATATTATAATGAAAATCTTTTTTTTCTTAGTTCGACTTTTCTATGAGAATTAATTTCGATATAACTTCATGAAACCGTTCAAATCTAACAATTTTAATTTTGAAAAGAAATTTTAATTTATATACTCATTTGTAGTGATTTGCAGTTTGCTAATAGTGTCTTTCGTCTTTTCTTTGTGTTGAATTAACTTATTCATCTGTCTTGAAACTTTTGTTTGAAAAAGGTTTTATTCTATTCTCATAAATTTTTCTGCTTTTCGATTTATTGCTTGATCTATCGTTTTTGCATAATTGAATCATGAATGCATGGTTTTTTCTTCTAGATATTTATAATTCAATTTACACGATAATAAAAACAAGCATGCATGCAGCTACAACCACTTTTATTTGTTCTGGATGAATACTCGCAACATAAATGTCATAATCAACGATTATATTCATTTCAATGACCAAGGTAATCACCGCGCAGGAACATGAAGAAAGAAAAACACTACTTGATGATAAAAAAAACTTCATATGCTACTAATGACAATCATCAACATCGTTCATCTCGTCTTGAATGGGCAGAATCGTCTTGGACTCGATTTTTACATGTACTCTGTTGGTGGTGGATAAAACCGATGTTATATGTAGGATATAAACCACAATTGACAGTAGATGACTTTGATGATATACCTCATGTTGGTAAAGCTTTGGTGTTATTAGATAGATTATCTTCTTATGACTGGTCATCAACAATAACATGGAATATTGTTTGGAAAGAGTTTTTGAAAGATTACATATTTGCTAGTCTATTCTTGATTCTCTATTTGATAACATGTATTGCTCAACCATTATTTTTTCGTCAAATTCTTTTGAATATGATAAATGAAACAGAATCGAATACTTTTAGCTATGTATATGTTATCTCACTGTTTGTTTCAATAATTATACAAGTACTCATGCATCGAGAAAATATCTTTTGTGTGGCTCGCGTTGCTGTATGAATTTCGAATGCACTTACTATGATCATTTATGTATGTGCATTGTCTCTAAAGTCGGCATCATTGAAAGAAATGGACACAGGTCAAATCATTCACTTGGTCGCTAACCATACATCGAAATTTGAAGAAGTGTGAGCATATTTGGGCTATCTTGTTGAAGGAGTTCTCGAGACTATCATCACATTTAGCATACTTTGTTACATCATGCAACCCATACCAGCATTGTGTGGTTTCACTTTATTACCTATCTTATTCTTTATTCTAAATTCTAATGAGTTCAATTCCAACCGTATTGAATGCACTCTGTCAGCTACTAAAGAATTAGTAAAGGTTTTTAATACAGATAGCAACTTAGACGTATCCTGGAATTTTCTTTGGGTAATGTTTCAAAATCAAAAGAACCTAATTCGGATAAAATTGAAATCAAAGTAAAACGCGAACAATTTTGCCGTACATCAATCAGACGGACAAAGAGACACATGCAACTTCATCCATATAACCAGTGTTACTTTTACAGCAATCGATTAAGCCATTAAAATTTTTAAAAATCTACTTTTTTTATTTTACAAAAAAAGTTTCTAAACTACAGATATGGTCGCTTGATAATCGCATTGCTCGAGTTTTGATGTCAGTAAATGTAATATGATTCAAAAAGATTCATTAGGAAGTCTCTTACCCAAAAACTCCTTATCATTCGTTGTTTCATCTAAAGATATAGCAATTGTTGCATTATATTCAAATATTTATTGTCGACATTTGATATCATCATAAATTGACGTAGTGTGAGTATCAATTTGGGATGTGATATATGAGATGAGTGAAAAGATAGTCCTTTGTCACATATAAGCTCATACCTACACTGCAAGTCCTCTTCAACTCAATGACCACCGTTAATATGATTGAAGATGTCTGTATTGCCTCTTTTTTTCTGTTCAATGTTTAAGATACACTTTCATATTTTAATACCTGTCTCTGTTGTTTCATGATGCATGCGAACATTGAATGGTTATAAATGCCCTGTCATCGTTGTGCCAAATATTTTCATTATCAGCTACTCTTATTTTTAAATTTTTTCAGAACTTTTTTGTGGGATGTTTTACGATTGAAGTAATTTAGTTTTTCTTAGTTTTTCGATTCTTGTTTATTGCTTTATACATCGGTAATGAAAAGAAAAATTATTTGTAACACGAATAAATTTCTGAGCTTGATTTCGAGAATGATGAATTTCAAAAAACTTTCATCCAGCTCAGTTTATGTCAAAACTATTTTCATTTTTTGAAAATACAAAAGATGAAATATAAAATGTTTTCTGTTAAAGTATATTATTATATATGTATACAGATGCCAAATGTCAATAGGATTGAAATGCTTTTCGGTAGTTCATCGTCATTTAGGCGCGGATCATGATTTTAAAAAAAATATGTTGCATGCCATACTATTTTTCATGTTTAGTTGCTGATTATGTTCGAAATATAATTTCTTCTGTGTTTTTTTTGCCTTAAAAACGTGATATCACGTTTAAGTCTGATGAAGAAGTCTCTGTTTCTTTTTCTTGAGTTTCGATGGAAAGTGTAACTCATTCGTGACAAACAGATTCACATATAATATCAACAAACAGCGACCTCTCATAAATGTTTTATCTAGGTTGCTAGAGGAGGTACGCAGCTCTGTTCAATGGCTATTTCTTGTACATAGCTGAAAGTGGATGTAGATTGTCTCAACTTTTCTATTCGACATATATATGTATTTTCTTCTTCTAATTTTGTTTAAATTAATTTAAAAAAATTTTTCTTTGTTTTTGTTTTAAGGTTACCTTTTACTATGTCGTTCTCAAGAATAAAAGAACGAATCCTTCCATTAGTCTGTTCTTCGAAGGGAGATTGCATATTTAAATTAATCAAATATAACATAAAATATTTAACTCAATTTTTTTTATTTATAAATTTAGATAATATATTATGTTACGATATAGTTTATTATCAATAAATCGCTCATATCTTGTCAATACATTTGTTCGACGAACATTATTCGGTCGAAGTAGTTCAACGAAAAAAATTAAAGATGATTTCGATGAAGAAATTATCGAACAACCAGACTCTATACCACAATCTGCTGTTCCAACAGTCTCTGAACTAGCTTCTTATAAAACCAAAAAATATGTTACACGTTTAGTTACTTGTCGTCCATATACACCACCATCGAATATTGAACAAAGTATTTATCGAATAGCTAATGAAACTATTGATAATTTTAAACAAGAAACTCGTTCGGAAGGTAATTGGAAATCAATATATCTAAGTAATCCTTTAAATAAATATAATTTATTAACACGTTGTATGAAAGAATGTTCTCATACAATATCAAATATGACTTTAAATGATATAAAAACATTAGAAGATGTTTATCAATATTTTTCAACATCTGTTAAAGATACAAATGTACTTGAAGATTTACAACAATCATCTGAATTACCAAAAAATGTTCATATACAATTAGATGCTGTTCGTTTTACACCTGAAACAAGTTCTTTTTTTAATGATCTCGATGCATTTCCTAAACGATCAACAAAAGTTATTGATTTATGGTATAAGAAAAAATATGCATCGTATCCGAAAAACGAAGAAGATCCATTTAAAGATAATATTTACTGATAGTGTTGTTTATTTTTTTTGTTTTTGTATTCAAAAAGTTGTTAGTCTTTTACATTATTAATAAAAAGCACAAATGTGCAATTTTGTTATTCAACAACATTTGATTAGTAGAATGGTGATGATATTGACGGTAATTGAAATAATAATCACGATAAAGTACTATGTCATTGTACAAGAAAAAAAAGATAGAAACCCTTTTTCAATGGAAATTAGTTTGTGGATTGAACTATCTCATATTTTTGTCCATGACACAGTTATAATTAGTAGAAATTTTTTCCTTAGCAACACCAATACTGATCTACACGGTCAGATTGAACCGGATCGACATAAATCATTCTTCACTTTTCTCATCTTATCATAGTCTAATAAAATCAATATTTCAACAAAATTTTCAACTAATTCCTGTAAATACTGCGTATAAGAAAGAGCATTATTTCCACCTAGAAATATTTCAATATAATTTTTCAATAAAATCAAATAAATCAAATTGTATCAATTAAAATAAATAAATGTGTAGCATCTTGTGGTACTTTTGTTGATAGAGTAGATATATGTGGAATTGAATATTCATCGACAGCAACTGATGTTCCATTCCAACATCGTTCTGTAGATTCTAGTTTAATTTTATCAATTATGGCATGTCAAGTGTACTATCATCAAGTAGAACAAGATGAGGAACAGCAACTTCCATATACTTTTACTCAACATATGAATGATAACATAAATTAATTGAATTAGAACAAATACACATAAACTCTGTTGATGACTCATCAATTGGCTACGAACGCTTTAGTTAATTTAGTCTCTCGTGCTTTATTTTATGAGCAAACGAATCATTATAACTTTGTAGTTTTTTTTTTCTCAAATGTTCAAATATTATTTCTCTTCATATGGATTCAAAGACAGACAGTATAAGTTGTTAAGTTACTGGTTGTACAATTCTTTTTCTTGTTTGAATTTGAATGAAATAAAAAATATTCTTTTTCTAATATGAAAAAAAAACGTGTTAATTCTGTTACTATGAACGGTTATAGAAATGTTATAAAAGATCGTAACATTTCAATTGTTTTCGATCTTTTAACCATTGAGTTTTTTTAGTAGGAAAAATAAATATAAATACAAGAAAGAACACAAGAGAAATATCTTAAGATTCAATTGGTTGTAATAGATCTCCTAATGGTACAGCATGTTGTCTCAAAATAATTTCTTTATATAATGCATTATCTTCATTTGCTTCAATTTGTTCTTGATCTAAATAAAATAAAAATGAAAAATTTATAGAAAAGAATTTTTTTTTCTTTTTTTACCACTACGTTGTTGTGATGGAGATCTTCTTTTTGGTACATTAGCCGATGTATGTCGTGATTGATGTTTTACACTACTACTTTTATTAGTTATTGAAGTAACTGAACGTGAACGTAAATCAAATGATTTCAAATACCAATCTTGAGCATTGGAGTCAGGTTGAAGAGGTTGTCGTAAACATCGTTCAGCTAATGTTGGTTTTACACGAAATCGTCTAGGATTTGCTGTACGCATAGCTTGACGATCAGCTCGAGCTTGATCAAGAATTGCTTGACTCTATTCATAGAATAAATTATTTGTGAAAAACAATTTGAAAAAAAGAAAACAAACTCTTTTGGCTTGATAAGCATAAGATGGATCAGTAAACAATTCTGAAATTTTTAAATTATTTTTAATTGATTTTGATGCATGTGCTTGTTCATAATAACTCAAGTTTTGTTGATATGGATGATCCGAAAAACTCTCATCACGTTCATATGGTGAATCAATAAATGGCCTAAACAAACTAAAACACCATTAATTTTAAAAGTTTTATTTTTTACTTTTTATTTGTTAATAATTGATAAGTTTGTTCAAGTAATCCTTCTGCTCCACCATCTTTTCCATGTAAAGTTGCATCAATAAGTTGAATTGAAATAGGAAGATTTTTCTTTGCTATGAATTGTTTAATAAGTGTCCAATTAAGTAATCGAGCATTCAACGAACGACCATTAATGAAAGCAAACATATTTATATCTTTAGGAAAATAGGCATGCAAAATTTCTGCATAAGTATAACCATTTGATAGATCCCTTAAGACAAAAATAACAAAAACACAGTTTTTCTTATGTAAACAAAAAAAAATGAATTGTTTGGTTTTAGTAGAGCTGCTTTCAAGTAAATGTTCCTCGATAATTAGCAGATTCTGTAACAAATAAGACTGACTAATGTTCTTTGGTGCTCATTTTTAGTGTATTTGGTTGATATATGTCTATATATTCTTTTTATTTTAATTAATTATAACTTACTTTTTGTATTTATATTAATAATCTCTGTCTCAATCTATGAATAGATGAATAAAGGATTATCATTTTTGATTTTCGCGTTATCAAAATAGCATTTAGAAAAGGAACTGAAAGATATTATTATTTTAAAAGTCGCTCACAGCGTATACAAATCGAAGAGGACAATAGGATGATTTCTCTCTGTTAGTTTCCTTAATAAACTATTGAGTGGCTTTTCTAAAGAAAAAAGAAAGGTTTTTTTTTCTATAATTTACCATTTTGGTATAATAACAGGATATGTTAGATAAAGACCTTCAAGCCATCGAAGTATTTCACGAGCTGTTCGAGCAACCATATCTGGAAGATTTTGTTTGTTCTTTCTCTTATGTATTCACATTAAACATATAAACGGTGATTTACTTTCATTATTATGATTCGTTGCTGGGATACGACCTCTGTTTATCATTGATCAAATTTATTTTATCAGAAAGTCTTTTTTCCTTTTATTAAAAATAAGAAAAAAAATTCAAATTTAATAAGTATGATCATAAACTATCTTTTTTCTTATTATCATTATTCACACACAACTTGTTTCTTTTTGTTGTCGAACTAATTTCACGAAAGTATGCAGTGAGCCTAAGTCGACTCCATACTAAATCTGTAGTAAATGTATAGCACAGAGTGATACGATAGCTGTTAGCAAAATGTTCTTTCTTCTCTGCTACTTCTTTATAGTTTGCGAAAAATACTATCTTATGTCGTTATAAGAGGATAACTTTACACAATAGTTATTCATGGTATCAAAATCTTTTTTGACGAAAAAAAGCATACTATATACTACAGATTTCTGAAGTTTACAAAATAACTCTTATGGTTATCCTATAAAAAAGAAAAGCTACAAAAAGATATCTAATAACATACAAGTGATCAAGATAGAAGAAATAAAGAAATTATAAAAAAACAAATGCATAGAGAAAAACTACTAATAGCTAAATACAATTAAAAAATATCAGACATGTGAAGATGAAAATACAAAAAACAATAACAGCACAAGACGATAAAATATTGAAGTTGAGTATCTTTCGATTGTTTGATCTAGTTCTTGTGTTTGATTGTGCCGTTGTTATCTCAATTATTTCAGAAGAAAATCAAGCACTAATAAAATCATTACATTATAGTAAAACATATTACTCACTAAAAAAAACCAATCACCATCTTAAATTGCAATGCATTGTGAATCATTTACATTGGTTTGAGAATAATTCGCATATGTGATTGGGTAGTAGTCCTCAACTAAAATGGTACAATATATTAATACACTTCTACATAAGATCACTTTGACTGTAACGAGAAAAGAGTTTTTCAGAAAAAGTAATAACATTTCATACAAAATAAATAAAATATTCATTCAGACAATCGTAGTAATAATTAATAAATACCGAAAAGAAAATAGTGATATAATTATAAACTAAATAAAGAAGAAATAGATATCTAATGAGAATAAAGAAGGATACAAATCTATATATTTTTAGACAGAACTTATTGTTTTACAGTTACAGATTAAAAAATAGGAAACTTTCCTATGATTTGACTTTAATTTTATAAAAAACAAACAAAAAACGATCATGAGTCCTAAAGATAACCAACAAAGAATGATTTACATATGAATGCGGGTGAATGGCATAAGCAACGAAGACTGTAGTTCATTGAAATTGGCACAAAAACGTTATCTTATGTTTTAGAGTGTAGGAAGTATTGTGGATTAACAATTTTTTACGCATTCACTCAATCTTGATTTTAGTTTTTCAAACCTTTTTCTTGTTAACCGTGAAACATGTCCCACTAATGTCGAATCAACTTCATCATCACTGTCACATTAATCATACGTATATTTGAATTGTATATATTCTTTTCATCGTGAACAGTTTCACTTGATTGGATCACACTACTTGTGATTGGATTATTTTTGATCTTGCTAATTTTACTAGCAAAAGTATCTTGATGTTTTTTGTTAATGTGTTCTTCACACCCAAATGTAATCGGGTAAAAACGAATCATACAAATTGCCAACTATGAACAAATTCATTGAATGTTGATAGGTTTTTCCGACATAATTCATATAAAATTCTCGAAAATAAACTTTATCACAATTTTAACGAATAGAATTTGTTATCTTCTATCAGAGCCTATTTATAATTATGTGTAAAGAGATTTCAATATATGCCATCGTATAAAGAATCTTCAGTTCTAAATGTTGAATTACTCACTCTTAAATTCCATCGAGAAGCGTTATCTTGTTTTGTGTATAGGCGGCCAACTCCTAAGATGGATAAGGCATCGATGGAAAGGTACATCGCTTCATTTTGCTATAAAATATGTGGATTACCATTGAACGAGGCATCAACCATTTCTGGAATATTGTGCCTGATAGTTTCTTTACTACTTCAAAATTTGGCTTATCCATTCTCAATTGAAACATTTATCTAAAAAAAGCGAATTTAAGTCAAATAAAAAGTTATCTTCTTTTTAAATGAAAAAATTAGCAACACCGGTTAATCAATTTTATTGATTATCATGCTGTTATATTGTGTCTTCATATTAGCTATAACATTAACGTTTTATTGATAGAATATATTTTTCACCTCATATCATTGCATTCACATTCAATGGATCTTTCTCAGTCTATGACTATCAAGTATTTTAGCCGCTTCATTAGTTAAGAAGAATGAGTGAATTAACTTCGCTATATGTCATTCTTCATATTATAAAATGAATTCAAAGTACAAGAAAGTATTTATTCTGGATGAGAAAAAGTACAAAAAAAACACGCAGTGGTCTATTTGACTTCAATCTGAATATAAAACAAAGAAAAGACACTCAATTTCAAACTGAAACGCAGGTCTTTCAGGTCTTTAGAATTATACCATCATCCAACTCAACGTAGTCTCTATTTTTTATATGGTACAAATCGTGGAGATCTATAGAGTTTATATAATATCATTTACATTTTTGATTGTAAGGACGAGTTGTAAGGATAAGACTGAGAATGAAAATGAAGGTGAAGGTGAAGGTGCTATAATTATTATGAAGGTGTTTCGTTACTTCATTTTGTTAACAAGGAAAGGTCCCTGACTGTGTCCCCGAGTTTCCCCGTAAGAAGTACATGGATTAGTCAATTCAAATGCTCTGATCTCAGATCTGAGAAGATTACCTGCTGAGGCTGCTTCAGAAAAAAGCTATAGTCAAAAAACTTTTTGTCTACTTACTATGCGTACATAACTGTATACTAGCTTATAAGATGCTATCATCATCTTGACAGATGCTAATTAAAATAAGGATATAACCTGCTTTGTAAAAAGAATGTAGTTATATAAGCTGGCAGATTCTTTACTTTTCTACCATGAGTGAATGAAAAAAACGTATAACTATTTGAAATCTTGTAAAGTACCACTTCTAATAGGTATATCAATCGCAACAATAACTTTGAGTTTGTTGATATTAGCAAATCAAGAAGTAGCGCATTAGCAGTATAGCTTACTAATTTCCTCCAATAGCTTAATAATCGGTTTTCGAATCTATATCAATTAGACTTGAGTGTTTAGTTTCTACATTCATGAATTTGATCAGTTTTATTACGATATTAGATTATCACGATCATCTATCTTTGCTATAGTTGAATAATGAACACGTTTATCAAAACTCGGAAGAGCTATATTTTTGTGAACATATTTGATACATTGACTCATTGTTGAATTTTGTCTACCTACAGTCTGAGGGTGATTAAATAGTTTTTGAAAAAATTTCTTTGATTGCAAATGTCAATCTCATAAACCCCCCTCCCAAAATAAAACGCCACCCTATAATAGAAGGCCACCCCGAATAGAACGCCACCTCCAAACGGTTGATTCGCTAGACATAATAGAACGTCATGTCAGTCAATTTCATTCACTCACTCGTTCACATTAGTTACTTTTTTTGTTGTGTCACTGATGCACGTTATTTATAGGACGAAAAATTTGCATATTTCTTTTCTTTCGTTCAGTTGCATCACACGATGAACAAATATACAATTCTCTCCGATAGATAACATGCAACAGTGACAGAACGAAAAAAATTAACTAGTGTGAATGAATGACTACAATTTCTTCCATTCCCAGTACAATCAACGAATAAACCACATTTAGTGCTTGAAATGAGTAAAACTAGTAGAAAAAGATGCCAACAAAATGAGCATAGCTATAGAAGGAATTATCCGAAAAACTCATAATAGAAGGCTACCCATAATAGAACGCCACCAAAAAAAGGCTGATTCACTGGAACGTAATAGAAGGCCATGCATTTTTATTTTAGGGGGGAGGGGGAGGGTTACTCATAAGCGAATGCTTTTTCAGAAGTAGAATGGATTACTATAATAGAAAACATACAGTGAAAAATAAGCATCAAAGATTTCAAATAGTTATACGTTTTCTTCATTCATTGTTGGTAGAAAAGTAAAGAAGATGTGGCTGTGGCGGGTGTTGGTCTGCGTGTATGTGAAGAGTAGACCCACATCCACACCCTTTTTTTTAAATAAATGGTTTTACCACTTCAAACAACAACTCGTTCATCAGCTTTAAGCAAGTATAATGGTGGTCTTAAAAAATATCTTCTTTTGATAGTAAGTTATTTCTAGAAACTCTTCTTTAATGATTTTAAAAAGTTAATGATCGTAGCAAATTTTAACTAACATTATTAATTTTAGACACCGATATGCAATTGTTTAATCGAAGAAAAGAACAAATGTCATTTAAATGCAGCATCAATTATATTTAGTATAGTATATATGGTTTTATTTTTATTCTGTGGCTTTGCTGCTAAAGGTATAATGGACAACAAATTAACTAATAAACAATATCGAACAAAATCAAAAAACATAGGAAATCTCCTAATGAACATGGTCATTGATACAGAAAATTGTGGCCACTGTGTGAACAAATATTCATCCATTAAAGATATTAAATCTATAATTGAAACTGAACAATTGAAAAAAGAAGAAGAAAATCTATCGAAACTCGTAAAGACATCATATATCATATTTGCAGTAATGAATGTTATCACGTCGTCTATTATATTTGGAGGATCCAAAGCCATAACAATAGCTACATTAATTAATGGATTAGTTGTGTTTGTATCGCTTTATGTCCCATCGTCATTAATTGTGCTATTTGAAAGTTTCGTCATCATCACGTCAATTTTTACTTATACAAGATCACTTTATGGTATAAATACGACCATGATGGCAATAAACACACGAGATCGACTTGAAAAAGAACCATGAAATGTAACTTTTTTTTTGTTATATTGTCATTAGTCACATACAGGACATCCAATCAGTTTTTTAATTTTATCATTAGTCAGATGCAAAACATCAAATAAATTTTTTTTTTATTCGTTGGAAATGTGTACTCATGACAGAGCATTAAAAAATTACCTTAAAAGAACATTGAGATTTTATTTATCTGGCATTTAATACAGTATACTCCAGGGCTGGGCGAGTCAAGCTATTTTGGCCACTTTTTTCGTTTTCTGTTTGTTTTGACGTAAAATTCTCTTTCTCATAGAGAAGTCTATCAAGAATAAATTGTTTGCTTGCCTGATTGCTTGTATGTCCGCACTTCAGTGATTGGTCCAAGAATAAGGTGAAAATAAAAGGGATTATTTTCCATAAAACTTGACCAGAGGGTAATCGAGGGTGGAGAGTTCAAATCTGTGGTCAGTTTTAACTAATTGTTAACTAATCATTAATTATTAATGTTTTCTATAAAACTTGACCAAAGCTAATCGAGACTGGGAAATTCAAACCTGACGTCAGTTTTAATTGATTAATTATTAATTAATAATTAACTGATTAATAATTATTAATTTTTTTCAAAAAATTGACCAAAGGTAATCGAGGGTGGAAAATCCGAATCGGAGGTCGGGTTCATTCTTTACATCTGTTCCTCTTTACCATATTGGTTCGTTGTTGTTAGATAAAATCTTTCAAGTTACGTCTAATAGTTTCAAACAAAAAACCGGTTTGAATGATAATTGAAAATCAATATATCTAAGTAATCCTTTAAATAAATATGATTTATTAACATGTTGTATGAAAGAATGTTTTCATACAATATCAAATATAACTTTAAATGATATAAAAACATTAGAAGATGTTTATCAATATTTTTCAACACCTGTTAAAGATACAAATGTACTTGAAGATTTACAATAATCATCTGAATTACTAAAAAAATGTTCATATACAATTAGATGCTGTTCGTTTTACACTTGAAACAAGTTCTTTTTTTTTAATGAACTTGATACATTTCCAAAACGATCAACAAAAATTATTGATTTATGGTATACAAGAAAATATGAATCGTATCTGATTGGAATAATAATCATGATAAAGTACTTACTCTTCATCTTGCAAGAAAAGGTGATAGAAACTGTTTTCCGATCGAAATTAGTTTGTAGATTGAATCGTCTCAGATTTTTGTCCATGACACAATTATAATTAGTAGAAGTTTTTTCTTGACAACACTGATACTGGTCTAAACAGTCAGACTGGATCGAACTAATGCAAATCATTCTTCACTTTTCTCATCTTATAACAGTCTAATGAAGACCATTGATTAGTTATATCTATCTCTTAATTACTACAGGAATAATTTAAGACTCCTGTTTTGGTACTCTATTGCTTTTCACCATATATTTCCATAACTTTTCTTTCTCTAGTCACCTGTTAATTTGCTTTTCGTATTATACCGTCATTATTATCTCGCATGTTAGTGTCAAATATACTGCAAAAATAATAGAAAATACAAATAAACCTATGACCACTTGCAATGCTCAACAATTATTTGATTTTGGTTCAATAATATAATCTTACATCAAAACGAGTTGATAAAATGTATTGACTATATACGACAATGAACTTTATGTAACAGACTAATCTGATGCATGTTTTGCCACGAAAAGAGACTTCGCTATCAATAAAAAAAATTGATTTGCGAAAAAAAACGCTTTTATGATCAATTTTTTGAAAGAGTAAAAACCGTGCAAAAACTTAAAAAACATCCAGATCAGCAAATAAAGCAAAAATGTGTTTTCTCGAGTTTCAAAAAGATTTTAAAGTACAATACTTTTATGATCCCTTGTATCTTGCGAGCTAAGGATAGAACTGTAACTTGTAGTTGTGAGTTGTTTAAACTGCTGTGCATATTCATTTCAATATAAAATAGCTCAATAGTTACGTGTTTTTTTCGTATTGATATCAACTATGACGACAGACACATTGATTTTCGAATTATTCTTTGTTTTAAATCTTTTGCATTTATTTTATGATTTGTATTTATTTGTCGGTTTATTTTACTAACCCCTAGTTCCCAGACAAATATAATCAACTGCTTCACAAGTGTAATTACTAATTCAAACTAAGTTTTAGAAAAAAAAAGCATAAGCTGTTCATTCATAAGGTTCTTGTCTGCTCTGAAGTTGAATTCATGATTAGTTTTAATTTATAAATGATTAATACAAAAAAAAAACCGATCATAATCAACGAATTAATCTAGTATTGATTTACTTCCTTTTGCATAAATAGAACAAATATTTTCATTGAATCGATGATGATCCATAACATGAAGAATATTTTCGACAATTTTTGATCCACCTTGAACATCAGGTTCAATGTGATTTGCATAATCCTTTGGATCATTAAAGATTGTCGTAAGATCAATAATAGGAATACCAAGCTATTAAAAAAAACAATAAATCAGAAATTTGATTACATAAATATATATATACTTTAATTGATTCTGTGATGATAACATCATTTAGTACTGATAATCCAGTTTCACATATACGTTGTTGTTGAGGATTTTCAAAATTTGGCTTATACATTGTACATATTGTTGTAGGAATTTTATGTGTAGTAACATGTTTTAACATTTCAATATAATCCTATAAATATAAATATTACAACGAAAAAGATAAACTTTTTTTAAAATACTTTTTCAAATTCATTTTTAAATTCGCTTAATAAAATTAATGCTTCACCAACATTTTGAACTGATTCTTTTAAACGTTGCATATAACAAAGAGCATCGTTTCCACCTAGAAATATTTCAATATAATTTTTCTATAAAATCATTTAAATTAAATTGTACCAATTGAAATAAACAAATGTGTAGCATCTTGTGGTATTCTTGTTAATTGAGTAGATATATGTGAAATTGAGTGTCCATCGACAGCAACTGATGTTGCATTCCAACCTCGTTCTTTAGCTTTAAGTTTAAGTTGATCAATTATAGCAGGATTTCCTTTACCCACATAAAATCTATTGTCAATTGTACTATCACCAAGTAGAACAAGATGAGGAATAGCAGCTCCCATATTTGATTTTGTTCAAGATATGAATGATATGATAAATCGAAATAAGTATGTCTGCTCTGTTGATGACTCATGAAGTTGCCACGAAAGCTTCTCTTCATCTTAGTCACCTGTGTCTTACTCATGAGCAAATGAGTCAGTATAAGTTTGTTTTCTTTCTTTCAAATATAGGTACATTAATTCTCTTTATAGGAATTCAAAGAAAGATCTTGTCAGTTGTTTTTTGTATTGATTATACAATGCTATATCTGGTTTGAATTTGAATGAAATAAATATATGCTTTTCTGATATGAAAAAAAAATGTGTTAATGCTATTTAAGATAGAAACAAAAATCTTACAAAGAACTATAGCATTTCGATAGTTTGAAATCTTTTTAGCAATGATTTCTTTACAGTAGGAAAAACAAAACTATATATAAATACAGAAGCAAAAGAAATAGAAGAAAAGTATCTTAAGATTTAATTGATTGTAATAGATCACTGAACAATATTGCATGTTGTCGAAAAATAATTTCTTTGTGTATATATGATATTATCTTCAATTTGTTCTTTGTTTAAACGAAATATAAATAAATAATTCAGAGACAGAAAAGCAAAGTTCTGGATTTGCTGCACATATAGCTTGAGTATTTTTATAGAACCATGTATGAATCAGAAAACATTTTGAAAAAAGAGGAAACACACTTTTTTGCTTAACAAACATAAGATGACTCAATAAGCAATTCTAAAAGCTCTAAGTCATTTTAAATGGATTTCGGTACATCTGCTTGTTCATAATAACTCAAATTTTGTTGATATGAATGATTACAAAAATTTTCATAATGCTGATAGGGTGAATCCATAGATGGTCTAATCCAAAGAAAAACAATAATAAAAAAAATTAAATTATTATTTTCTACAGAACTAATAAATTTGTTTCAAGTAATCCTTCTGCTTCGTTATCTTTTTCATATAAACTTTGATCAATAAGTTTGATGCAAATAGGAAGATATATCTTTTTGCTATAAGTCATTTAATAATTGCTCAACTAAATAATCGAGCATTCAGCGAATGACCATTACTCAAAGCACAAATAAACATTCGATAGATTCTTGAAGATAAAAGTTTAAAAAAAAACCTGTTTTTCTTAGTTAAACAAAATAAAAAATGTTTATTTTTAATAAAGATTCTTTCAAGTATATGTTCCTCTATTATTAGCAGACTCAGTAAGTATTTACTAAAACCTTATGATTTCCTTTCGTACTGATTTTTAATAGATTTCGTTACTAAATATCCAGATTATGCCGTTGCGATTCACGATGAAATATATTTTGTATTAATCTCAACAATCGCTTACAACACTTATGAATTGATGAGCAAAGAATTATGATTTTCGATCTGCTGCTTATTGAAAGCATATTTTATATTAAAAAAGTTGCTTGTGACATACACAAATTGAAAAGAATACGATATTTCTCTGTTAGTTTCTTTAATAAACTATTTAACGACTTTTCTCAAAATAAATTTTTTCTTTTAATTTACCATTTTTTTTTTATAAAGACAAGATGTGTAAGTTAAGGATTCTTGGTAATTGAAGTATTTCATAATCTGTTCGAGCGACCTAATATCAAAGATGTTGTTTGTTCTTTTTGTGATACACTTAGTCACATTAAATATATGAAGGGCGATTTTCCTCCATGATTATGATTCGTTGCTAAGGATACGACCTCTATTGAGTGTTAATTATCGTTCATTCATTAGGATTTTTTTTCTTCTATTGAAAATAAAAAAAACCATTGAGTTACAATTAAAAAAAAGAAATAATTCCAATTTTAATAAACATTTTCATAAAATGAGTGGTCAACACTTGATTGGTTTATAAACAATCTTTTTTGTTATTATCATTATTCTTACACAAGTTGTTTTTATTTTGTTTTGTCGAACTAATCTCACTGAGAATGACAGAGTCTAATCCTGTATCAACCGTCAATGAGGATATTTCCTCAACAAATAATGCCGAACAACAAGAGACAACAACACCAACACCACCAACAACAGTTACAAATGGTAACAAGATTTATTCTAATATCTTTATTATTATTTTTTCTTTTTTTTTTTCACATCAGATGAATCTAATCAAGAAGTAACTGTTGTACCAACTAAAGATACTACCAATGAAAACGTTATTGATGAAAATAAAACTGAAGAAAAAGAACAAATTCTAGGTTAAATTTTTTTTTGTCAATAAATTTCATTTTAGTTGTTTTTGTTTTGTTTTAGAATCATCATCTGATATCAATACAAAAGAATCAGAATCTCAATCGAAAGAACCATCAAGTGAACGACAATTTCAAGATGCTGAAAAGGCAACAGAAAATGATGCAGAAGTTTATGATGATAATGATTCCGAATATGAAGATGTTGACGATGAAGAAGAAGAAGAAGGGGAAGAAATCGACGAAAAAAATCATACACAAGTTTTAAATAAAGTATAAAAACAAAATATGTCAAAATTTAATTCTTTTCATTGATTTTTTTTTCTTCTTCGAATTCAGAGTGCAACTGAAGAAGATGATGAACGTATCAATATAAAACCTCGTCGTTTACCTAAAAAACGTGATGAAAATGAACATTCAGAAGGTTATGAAGATGATGATAATCAAAATGTACCAAATACTAATGCAAAATCAAATCGACGAGGAGAAAAAGTCTAAAAAACAAACTGACAAATGTTTTTTAATTAATTTTTTTTAATTTATTAGAAATCAGATAAAAATCTTGAACCACTTGATGATGATAATGATGCTCGAAATCCAGCTTATATTCCACGTAAAGGAAAATTTTATGAACATGATGATCGAACAAATGATCAATCAGAACAACCAAAACAGTTCGTATCAAAATAAAAAGAAAATATTTCTTTTTCATTTAACAACAAAGAAAATTCACCTCTTGTTTTTTTTTTAAGAGAAACAACAAGAAATCGAAATCGTCCATATAGAGATTCAGATGCTAAATGGCAACATGATTTATATTATGATTATGAAGACGAATCACACTCTCATCAGTCAAATTACAGAGGACAAAGAAGAGGTGGTCGTTTCAGGTTAGTTTCATTGTCAAAATTTAAGAATGAAATTATGAGATTATCGAATATACGAGTTATTCAATAGAAAAAAAATTCTAGATTGCAATAGCCTTGCTCTTTGAAAAGTTAATTAATACCAACTTTTTATTCCTATGAGAATTAATGAGGCTGAAATATCCATTTAATAACAATCAATCACTTGCCGTGATTAGAGATGTATGAGGTCACGGAAAAAAGAAGTTGTTGAGACTTTAGATGTGATACGAATAAATTTTGGAATAGTCTTCTCTAGATTAGGACCCAACAAATTAAAATCATCGGAATTGGAACTACAAAGACTTGGTCCCGCACATCTCTAGTCGGTATTCAAAATCATAGAATATCCACACCCTAACAAATGTATAAAACTCTGATTGTGAATCCCTAAAAGTGTACTAGATTGATATCAAATGGACATTTTACATTCATCGAAAGAATCATTTACCATTCATGTTGATCTTACAAAACTTGAATCCATTGATATTGTGTTATATTGAAATAGCTCATTTTGTGCTTTTTCCTCATAAGACTATGATTATAGTAAAATGTTGGGTTTAATGGCTTCGAATATCGGTGCAATCAATGCACAAAGAATTATTTTTTACCGAGTGCCTTATATACTCGATAGTCTCATCACATCTCTTTTAATTCTTTAATTTATTAATCATTTTCAGTCGTGGTAGTGGTGGCGGTCGTGGTAATGGTGGCGATCGTGGTGGTCGTGATGATCGAAATCAATTACATTTAAATGATTATATTCCTCCAGCTCAAAGAGGACGAGGTGGTGGTTATCGTCAACAGCAATTATATTATGATGAAGATAATGATTATCGTCGACGAGCTCCACCATATGTTAAATCACGTAATGATCACATGAATAATTTTGAATTTGAAGATTATAATCGTTCATCATATAATAATAATCGTGGTCGTGGTAATCGAAATAATTATGTTGAACAACAAGCACCACCTCGTAGACAAAGACGTGATTTTGAACAATATCAAACTGAAGAACAATCAATACCACCACGTCGTAATCAACAATATACAAATACAACAGAACAAACAGTTCATCGTGAAAGAAATTTTACTAATACTCAATTTCAACAACAACGTAATATACCAAAAAATAATAATCGTGATGATCAAAAACGATCAACTGGACAAACTTATGAAGTAAATCAAGATGATAATAATAATAAAAATCGTAATCAACGTCGTGAGAACAATGAACCACCACGACGTCAAGGAAGAAATAATCGAAATCAACAACAACAACAACAAAACGAACCTAGTACTACAAATTCAAATCTTTCAGCTGAAGCGCCAAGTTTTGAACGTTCGAAACGTTATTCAAATATGCGTAGTAATGTTTCAAATTCTGGTCCACAACAACAACAACAACAACCACCGCCAGTTCAACAACCTCAAATACCAATGCAATCTTATCAAGATCAACGTACTGGTTATTATGATCAAAGTATATCTACATTTATATTTTCGTATATAATCAAATATCGATTTATTTAGATCATTGGCAACAAGCACCACCACCTCCAACTACATATCTTCCACAACAACAACAAATGATACCAGCACAAATGTATCATCCACAACAACCAATCCCACCTCAACCTTATTATGTTGCTCCACCATATCAACAAGCTGCACAATATGTTCCTATCAATTATCCACAAGGATCTATACCTCCACAAGTAAGATACAGTAAAAGAAAATTTATTTTGTAAAACACGATCTAAAATGAATGTTAAAGTATACAAATAAAAATTTGGATCCACTATAAATCAATAACATCTCGTTATCATATGAACAAAATCATTCGTGAGTGATATGACTTCACAAAACTAGAATACATGTATCTCAGAAAAAATGAACTTTCTTTGAACTATGTTAAGTTATTCGAGATATCTTGAAAAAAATTAACGTTAACGACGTAACATCAAAAAAAAGGACATCATTGACTTTCATTTCATGCATTTTGGAATGGTCTACATATTATCAGGTTTCACTGCATACCATTGACATATCAACGACCTGATAATACATACAACACTAGAGATAGAGGAAACCCGTTACTATAGATGTGGTTCGTCACATAGAGTCTATCTCGAATTTTTTTCTTGTACGATTAGAAAGATAATCGCTGATTAGTTTCAACTGAAAGAGTCAACATTTTTACATATGTTTATGCTAAAAGAACTTATTTTGAGGAATAATTCTTATTCAGAATGTACGATGGGGTATGTTCGATTTTGCTTGAAATGGTTCATGTATGAACTAATACTTCTTTATTGCATTTTTGAAAGCTAAAGTAAAACGATAATGATGAAGAAATGTACTCGAAAATAGATGGAATAACACAATTTTCATGTGATTAGCAATAGTAGTTACATCGTGTTTTACATTTTAATCCCACTGGAATTATGCGCTAACAACTTTGTTTGATTTTATAAATAATTTTATTTGTAGCTTCAAGAGAAATGATGCCAATAATTAATGATCTGTTTCTAAAAATAATGAAGTATTAGTGAAGAGAATATAATCGAACAAATCAAATTGGAGGAGAATTATCTCTTCGTTAGCAAATGTTCGATTTACAATTGTATGTATTTTTATTTTATAAAAATTAATTTAATTCTTTATTTTTTTTTTTTTTTTGTTATTATAGTTCATTATACTTCATACTAAAAACAAAATTATACCATAAAAAGACTATTTCTTCTCTTCTTTTCTTCATTTTCACATACATTTTTTCTGTTATGCGTAATTCATATATCTCTTTTGTTCTTTGATTTAACTCTAATGATTTTCATTGTTTAACAATGAAACAAAAATGCTTAAACAAGAAATTAGACTTTTCGCAAAAAAGACAACGAATAAAATAAACAAAAAAAAAAGAGACATTTATTCTGTATTTTATTTGTCATTTCTTATCTAACGGGTATATTTACATACCCAATTGATTGTGTGCGCGTATGTAACACTGGTTTTTTTTTTGTTTTGTAAGTTCTACACCTGCTTAAAATTGTTTACCACTGAACTATTTTTGTGTGTGCGTTTTATTTGCGCCTGTCAATATAGGCCGCTTTATCAATTTTTTTTTTCTTTTTGTTCTGTTAGTTTGTTCTGTTTATGTATTCAGGCTTTGGCTATGCGGTGTATGCTATGTCTTTATTATGATAATCACAGACTATATGACTGGACTTTGTAACTTTTTCTTTTGCTTGACGTTTGTCTTTCTATTACTCATTTCAAATGGCATTTGCAGTTGATAACACCATCAATGGTCGATTATCCTATTCTGATAGAAGACTATAGTGATTGTTCTTTCTCCATAATCATTAAGAAAGCATTTTTCTTTATTTTCATAGAGCAAATAATGACATCATTTAGTTTTGACTGAATATTTTTTCGATTAACACATTGCCATAATTTCAATGAATATTCACCAAAAGGTCTCTACCAACAAAGAATAGTTCTAATAAAAAAAAAAGTATAATAAATCGTATATCATTAGACTGTTTTTTTTTCTTTTCTTGACTTCAAAAAATATATTACATCTGTTGCACTTGGATTCAGCTTTTTTTTTTGCATACATATACATATATATATAAACAAGTAGGCAAATATAAAAAAGAGATTATTTTTATTTATAATAAAACTTATCCATGTTGCCTTATAACAAAATCATACATATTCTTATATTATTTTGTTTATTTAAAATAATAAGTAAGTATATAATTAAATAAAAGTTAATCCAAGAAGTTTTATTTAAAAAAAAAACATAAAATATAGTTGGAGGTGAACATCAACGTCGTTTATTAAAATATTTACTTGATGAAAATAATCATAATCCACTTGAAAGACCTGTTTATAATGATTCTCATACTCTAACTGTAACAATGAATATGGCTCTTCAACAAATAATTGATTTTGTGAGTCTAGTTATAATATAAAATCTATGAATATATATTATGTATTATCGAATAGGATGAAAAAAATGAAATTCTTGCTATTAGTGGTTGGATAGTTCTTGTATGTGTTTACTTATTTTATAATTATTTTTATTTTTTGTTTTAAAAAATATATTCAATCCAGACATGGCATGATTATAGTTTACAATGGAAACCAGAGGAATTTGGAAATATTCAAGCTATTCGTATACCTAGTACACGTGTTTGGATACCAGATATTCTTCTTTATAATAGGTAAAAGTAACAAGAAGAGAAAAAAAAACAAAAGATTTTTTTTGTTTTTTTATTGAAAGTGCTGATCTCAATTTTGAAGGTATAATGAAAACAAATCTAGTTGTACAATCAAATGGTAGTATATTTTTTGTCCCACCGGCGATATTTAAATCAATTTGTCCATTTAATATTGCTTCATTTCCATTTGTAAGCTTTTCAAAAGAAAAAACTGCTTTTAGTTATTTGCATATATATATATCTTTTTCTTTTTTGGGACATTCAAAATTGTACATTAAAATTCGGTCCATGGTCTTTTGACGAATCCGGTTAGTTAAAAAAATTGACGGATCATCTCATTTCGTCTGTTTCTCATCATAAAATGTTTAGTTCTATAATAATTGAATTTCAATTCGTGCCTTACAGAGATTGTGAGTCGCTGGATGGCACCATGTCTCATATCAATTTGCGCATATAATTCGTCAATTGTTGTATAAAGATCATCATTAATAGGGCTATGGATTTGTTCGATTACAGATCTGCTGAACTGTTCTGAGAGGTAAAGCCTGGCCACCCAAAACAAAATATAGAAGTGAAAGTTTTCCTCATCCATTTAAATCCGAGATGAATAACTTTGATTGAAATTCTTATATTATTATACCAATTGAAGAATAGTGAAATATTATAGAGCAGTGCTTGAACTGTCAATGTATGTATATAGAAAATTCATTCAAGCCTTCTATCATGTATTATGGTACTGCTGCCACTATTTTTGGTATGTACTAAGCATATAAGGATGAGAAGGAAACTGAATGTTTAATCTGTTCTTCAAGTCCTCCCTTCTCGGAATTTTTTCGATACTAAATTCAAGACTTTCAACATATGCACCAATTAAGTACCATGCAGGATATGATCACAATAAGACAATGTAATGAATGGTACGAGTTAGGACACAATTAAAACGACTCGTTTTATAATGAGACAGACAAGAGACGAAATGAGAGTAATCGAAAAATAGATCATAAATTTCTATTGATTAGTTTTTTTTAAATCCAATAGGTATTAATCTAACAACTGACCATAGTGAAGGTCAATTAGATGCATATGTTCAAAGTGGTGAATGGGATTTAGAATGTATAGAAGAAAAGAAGTTGTTGTCAATAATATAAAACTTTTTTGTTTTTTATAGCTTTTATTGTTGTACGAAAAGCTGTTGTTTATGAATGCTGTCCAACAGTATATCCATTTATTTTATTTACAATTCGAATTCGTCGACGTACTCTTTATTATGTAGTTAATGTAGTTGGTAAAAAAAAGAAAAATAAATATATATATATATTTTATTTTAATTTCACATGATTATTAGTTTTATTTTTAATATATAGTTCCATGTGTTTTGATTAGTTTTATGACTGTACTTGGATTTCTATTACCACCAGATAGTGGTGAAAAATTAACTTTACGTAAGAGAATAATGATTGATGTTTATAATGGAATAAATTTTGTTTATTTCTGGTTTTTTTTCTTTGAATAATAGAAATTACAATTCTTCTTTCAATTGTTATGTTTAGTTTATTAATCGCAGGAATTATACCAGCTAGTTCAACGGCTTTGCCAACTATTGTAATGTATTTTACAACGGTTATGTGTATATGTTCAATGTCCGTTTTTGCTACTGTTATGGTACTTGTTCTTCATCATAGAAATGCCAAGAATCATACAATGCCAATGTGGGTAAGAAGTTTATTAATAATAATTGATCGTTTCAAAAACAAAAATTTTAAATGAGTACAATCTTTCAAAATATTTTTAAACATTCAAAATTTTAAATTGTAATTAGTTAATATTCTTAAGAAACAAACATGTCGAATAGTACAATTTTTTACCATAGAAAACATATCGATCTATAAAAGTACACACCAAATTGTCAGATCATATCTGATCTTTGTCCTATTGAATTGATGATAGAGATTTAATCGTTAAGTCCTTGTATTTTATTTTTTCATCATCTAATACATTGTATTTAAAAACAAAATATATCATAAGATGCAGCATGAAAAGCTCTACAATACAAAGTTTATTTTATACACATGTTTAATTTTCAAAATGGACAAAATTCTATATGACTAATTTTTTCGATGCTGCGAGCAAAATCAGAAGTTTATCGGGATCACCGGAAAGATAAGTTGCTAAGATCGGAGCAGGTATTACGAGAAAAAAGTTGTCCCAACAAGAACTAAAGACTAGAGTTATATATTCTATGGTTTTAAGCGAATTATCTTATAAATTATATCAATGAGAACATAAGACTTAATCAATCAAAACATGCGTATTGACGAACCTGTTTAGATCTGATACGTATAAATTCTGGAATAGTTTTCTCTAGACCGGAACCAAAAAAAACTTGGGTTTGTATATCTCTCATCGAGACTGTTTGATGGTCACTCAAGTCAAAAAATTTGAACAAGAACTTACGTCTATTTTTTATCCTTGTTGTTTCTGAAGTGCATGAAATTCTTTTCATACCATGTCGATGATTACTGATATATATGCAGTGTGATGTTATCTTATTGATAGATGAAATCATCACTTAGTAGACATTGACCTTCACTGCTTCTGCATATGGAAGAACAACTTCAATATAATCCTTTTGTGATAATATTCCACTGCGTTTAAATATTATTGGAAATGTAAGGTCATTTTTTGAAGCTTATAACTATACCATAATTATTTTTTGATTATGTCAGAATGAATGAAAAAAATCTCATTAAAATATAAAAATTGGCTATTGATTATGGTCTTTGATATGACTCTTTAATAGAAGAAATAAAAAAAAAAGAATTTATCGTCTATGAGAAAACAATTTTGTTCGCAGCGTCGAAAATCAATCACACAGAATTTTGTCTATTTTTAAAACTAAACATACATTTATAAAATAAACATTGTCCAATGATGTTACTATCGAGTGAACCACAGGAACAGCTACTAATAAAGAGATCAGTACAATTAAATCTGGATGAAATCATTTTATTGTGGAGATGTAGAATGAATCGAAACTGACTCATTCATCTTGAACGACATAAAAATTAAACATATTGTTAATTTAATTTTTTTACAACTCATTTTCGAGGATGATATATAGTTAGATACTTGTAAAGGTGACTATTTTCGTATCGGAATCAGTTCTTTTATTTCCAGGATAGTTAATCTTCATTGTCTTTTTATAATATGGAATCATTCATTCTAATTCCGATTGAAAATCATCCATTTCCATTATCAAGATCTTATCCAGAAAGAAGATCGTAATAGAAACTGCAGGTTTCTATCATTTATCGATAAAGTGTTATTTAAAAACAATCGTGAAATGCTTTTTGACCTTGGAAAAGTATTTTTTATGTTACTCACTTCCAATATGTCAAACAAGACCCAACAGAGGGTAAATGGTTAATAAAATTTTTCAGATGATGAAAAAATAAAATATAAAACCCAATCATTCCTTATGGCTCACCTGTTATTAGTTAGAAAGGATACATTATTTTGTATGTCGTTATCTTTTATTAATAAAATCCTGAGAAATACTTTTTTTTAAAGATTTTTTTCTTTTTAATATACTAGATTCATTTATATATCAATCAATATTTAGCATGGTTATTATGTATGAAACGTCCTGGACATGATTTAAGTTGGAAAGGAATTCGTCATCGATGTTCTCTTAAAAATAATTCTATTCATAATCATAAATATTCTTCGACACCATTATTAGAAAATTCATCAAAATCATTATTAGCTAATATAATGAATATTGATAAACAAACATATCAAAAATCAAATAATCAATTATTAATACCAATAATGAATCATGTAGAAAATTCTTCACATAATCATGATACAAATGATGTATTAATACCTTATGACATGAATATTTATCGTTCTGATCTTCGTATGATAATGTATGAACTTAAATTTCTTAGTGATTATATACGTAAAGAAGAAGAAGATGATGATATATCACAAGATTGGAAATTTTCAGCTATGGTTATTGATCGTTTATGTCTTGTTTTATTTTCTATAATGACAACAATCTTTAGTTATGTCACACTTTTTTCTGCACCAAATTTTTTAAAACTTCGATAAAGATAATAATATTATATGTCTGTCATATTTCTTATCTTTTCATTTATTGTTTATATATATATATATATATACATGTTTGCTTTTGTTTTTATATAAAGAACAAAGATTGATGATAAACTTTAACGTAAAAGATTGTCCATGTTCTACTCATAACATTTTTCTTTTCTTTTTTTTTTAATACTCATATGTTAATTGTTACTTTTTGTTGAAGAATACTGTGATATTAATTAAAAAATAGAACGGTGAGTAAAAAAAATAAATTTTATTATTCATCATAGACTTTACATTAATGAATGGTTAATTATTGATTCATTCATTTAGATGAATAAGAGTTCAATTTCCGCTCGAATCAAGTATGTTTGTATGGAAAATAGAAGAAGACAAAATAAGAATGATTGTCGGTTCTATCAAGCATACGTTCATTTTTTTTTCTGAATAGTAGTTTAGACCTAGAAAGAAAAATAGAACAATATAAACGAATGACTAATCGAAGAGAAAAAAAGAGTCAATGTCCTCAGGGAGAATAGTAACAATATACATAAAGTTGTCGGCAACTTGAAATGGTTCCGTTTATTTTAAGATTATGCGCAGTAGTATACTTTTTTAATGAGTCAATCCATTCTATTGTTGCCGTTTGCTCTTGAATTCAAAATGAATATGACAAGTCATCTTTATCACGTCATCTTCTATTGAAACACATCATGTCGTTTTCCATTATCTCGATGTTATTGAACATAAGAGAAAAAAAAACTTATTAGTCAACTAAATTTTCTCGTTTCTTCTTTCTCTTGTCTTCTCTTATTCATCATGCACCAATCATTAAAGAGAGAAATACTAAAATACGAGGTTATTTTGACGTCACCCTTAGTTAAATAGAGTAACACAACAAAAAGAAAATGAAAAAAAAAAGGAATAGCTCATTCGCTATTCCCTACGGCACAAGTCATTCAAGTAAGTTTAGATCTCTATTTACCGATTCAATCTCAATTATATCGATTTATAAAGTTTACTTTATACTTATTTCTTCGTCAAGATTAATAGAATGATCCATTGCTCTCAATGCTCACAAATAACTATGTCTTTAAAATAAATACTTTATTTTTATGTATATCATCAATAGACATTTTGTATAGCAACATTACATATGTTCTCATTAAAACGATGATGTATACAAGTAGATTTTTCTTTCTAATGAGTTGTATATCGACTTGAAATCTTTGTGAAGAGAGGGAGTAGTCATATGTCATTAGAATGAGAAAAAAAAAGCAAGATGAGTAATCTTATTATTGTTGCATTCAACGAACATTAGTCTTCAACATCAAATGCAAACATTTTGTCGTCGTTATAACACATACATCAAACGATTCTATGGCTTCTATTATGCTAATAATATTTTCGATAAAAATTTTAAGACTAAAAATGTCAATAAAATATATGTCTGTATAGAAATAGTACATGTTAAAAAGAAGAAAGAAAAAAAAATTATAAATTAAATCACTTAAACATTAAAAAAAAATGAGTAAGAGCAAAAAAAAAAGCCTTCATCATGGATGAATTCAATTTTTAATAATGACTAATGCATATTTGTCGTCTTTGAAATGTTTAGTTGTTTATTAACATGCGCCGGTTTTTTTTTCTTTCTCTTTGCTATGAAGAAAAGATTATGATGATGATCATGTTTTTAATTAGAATTGAATCCTATTTGCTATCATTTGTTTTAGATTCAATGTGAATAATGCCACGCATCATTGATAATCTTGTTCATTTTAACGGTAGAAGTGACGAGGTAAGAGAATAAAAAAAATTTCTTTTTTTTTTTTTGGTATATTGATAATAAAACTTAATTTACCTACAACAGAGTCCAAGAATGAATCGACAGGTAGGAGAAAAAATATATATCTCGCTGTCTTCATACTAACCAATTTATTCTCTTTTATAATTCAATTTCAATATACAGATGTGTGTTGAAATGAAATACATGTCATACTAAATTAATATTATTTTTCTTTAATAAGATCACTATCTTCAAAAATATATTTATTAATTGAATAGAATGTCTTGTTTGATTTAGCTGATCAACTGTAGTATAAATGAAAAGAAATTGATCGAATGAGAAGTGTCAACATTTAGTTAGAGAAGAAGGAAAATGTTTGTTTCGATTCATCCAGTAATGATATTTAAATGTGCACAGCTGTATTCTCTTCGCAGATGTATTTTCGGTACAATAATTTTTTTTTTTGTCAAGTAGTACAAATGTAGCCTCGTTATTCCGGTCGAGATAACAATACAATTTTTAAACTTCAGATAAAAAAATGAATATTAACATATATATAACTTAACATAATGAGAATGAATTGTAGCTTGATTTTTATTGAACGTCTCTTTTTTTTTTTTTTTTTGTTAATGATGGAATAGAAACATACTTTAGATGTTTGTCAGCTTGAATTCTTATTATAATTCTTTCTTATATATTTACATAAAATATGCGTTTGAAAAATCGAGATGCAAAGAAAAAGAAATGACACTGGTCGATTAAATTAGTCATATTCTTCGTCTGTTTAGGATCGATGAATGTGAAGTTGTCCATGACATGAGTTCGATCTAAATATATATATATATATGAAGAAAATATTTCTAAAAGGCATTTCAATATCTAATAACAATCATGTAAATAAAAAAAAATTCGATTCTAAATTTGTTTGATTGAATGCTTTGCTTTTAATTAATATCATATTTAAATTTAAAAATTTATTCAATATTTAGACAATATCATCATCAACAAAAATGGGTCTTGTTAATTTACGAGATTTAGTTGAATCATCAGCACATCGATGGTATAAAGAGAATGAAAAAGATACGATGAAAGCTAAATGGGGTAAAACTTATAATTGGAAAGAACTTATTAAAGAAATTGATTGGAGATCATTAAAGTTTGTTTGTTTGTTTTAATTTAATTTAATTTTTTTTTTTTGGTTAAATAGAGTACGTCATGATCCAGTTATTTATACAGATATTGAAACTCCCGGTACACCAAAAAATCATATTTTATTTCGTTCAACATTTCTTAATGATACAAATCGTGAACAAGAATATAATTTAAAAGCTGAACGACGTACAGTATCAAGATGTGCATTTTCAATATTTGAAGGTTATACAACTGAACAGTGTGCTTCATTAGAATTAGAAGTTCCATTACCTAAATGTGTATTAGAAGCAAGTACAGGTTTTCGTCGAGAATATACTCTTGAACAATCAAAAGATAAACAAATTGAAGAAGAATTAACATGGTCAGTTGAATCAAATATTACAGTAAGTTTTCTATTTTCAATAGGAAAACTTTCAAGTAGAGAAAATGACAATTAATAAGAGGTTAAGAAATGAAGAAGTTAGTAGACGAAATAAACTAATCAGTCAAGAAGCAGTATATATATATAAATGAAATATGGTAATTAACGAGAAACGAATATAAATAAATAAGCGTGACAATCGAAGATGACTTTCCTCAATCTTGACAAGTTTTCATTTTCCTTCAGCGTTTTATTGTTCATCAATTTCGAAAAAAATGCACCTTCCTGCATATCCAGTCAATTTTAGCAAAAATCTTCTGATCGACCACTCTCTTCATTCTATCGACAATGACTGTAGAAAACAGAAAAAAATCATAAACATGAATAAATGAACATTTAGCAAGCAAAAAGAGAGAACATCAGTGATGGTTCTACAATTACTAGATAGTGTTTTAGGTGCTTATTGCTTTTTGTATGTTAATAATTATTGTACTAATAATTTTTGGCAGATGTTACAAAAAAAACCGGTGTTCAAAATAGAAAGCATCTTTTAAGATTCGAAATAGTGTTTCGGTTAAGTTTTCACTGTCTCAAACTAACTGAAATAGTCAAATATGTCTTAACCATTACTACTAATTTGATGAATTAGTAGATGAAAGAAAACGTTTTTTCTCTCTCCAGATTATAAAACAGCGAATATTGATCTTCAGTTGAATTAATAAAAAGCATAACGAATGAGTAAATTGTCAAATCCTCAATAAATAGATATAAAGATTTTGCGACGGATGTTCTATTATTTCCTACAAAGAACTTGATTGTTGCATATACAAGTAATTGAGAGATGGTGTCATCTCATAATATATCTCTTGTGTCCTTGTTTTATTGGATATGCGATTCAAAACTTCGGCAGGACAAATATATATTCTTCAGAGCACAGACCAATGACATGTACTGCAATAATCAGAAACTCTAAAAGGGCCAATCCAATTTTCGGAGAGGCGCCATTCGCTAGACCCTCGACGCTTGATAGAAGACTGATAATATCTAACGAGGGAACCTTTTTAAACTGCTCCCTTCTGATTTCAATGATTTTTTTTTGTCGATGGATACTACGTGCTGCCTTAATAAAAACCTTAAAAAGATTTGAGTTCCTATTGAGATTTGACTAGGTTAACGAATTTTTAATAGGTCTATTTTCGAGAGGATCCAGGTATTCGGAAAACCCTGTATTTTCGAATTCTGATTTGAAACTTTGTGCATATAGAGAACTCAACTAGACTAGCTTACATAAAAAAAATCAGAAGCTTTGAACAAAGTTTTTTTGAAATATGAAGTTTTGAAAAATGCATATTGTATTCATTACCCATGAACAAGGATTTATATCTTGAAAGTCTCATATGTCAAAGAGACTTTGTTGAAAACTTTTGAATTTTTTTTATGGAAGTTAGTCTAGTTGAGTTCTATATATGCGTAAAGTTTGAGATCAAAATTCAAAAATATAAGATTTTTCGAACATCTGGGATCTCTAGAAAATAGTCATATTAAAAGTTCAATAGCTTAGTCAAATCTTCATGAAAACCTAAATCCTTTTAGAATTACACTATTTAGTATCTATAGGTAAAAAAAGAAATCATTGAAATTAGAAAACGATAGTTCAAGAGATTCTTTCGTAAGCTCATTGATTAATTATTGAAAATTTTGTTTTTTCTTGTG